AAATTGTGCCTTGCAAAGATCGCTTGAAGATGGGAGTTACATCCAATGTAATCTACTGGATCCCCTGCATGGATTGTCCTTGTGACTATGTAGGACAGATGTGGAGGAAGCTAACAATCAAATTGCAAGAACACAAGCGAGCGGTTAGACGAGGAGACCCAAACTCATTGGTAGTCTCACAATGCAACGAACAAGGACACACGTTCAATTTTGCAGCTACAAAGATTGTTGGCCAAACAGGGGCAAAAATAGCCAGGAAAACGATAGTCTGGGAAACAGGTCCGTCATTGGTCAACAGAGTGCTAATTTACCACCAGATGATCAAGTACTTAGAAGACAAGGGCAGCACAAGGAAACAACAGTCGATAACTCAACACCCCAATCAACAACTAAAAAGCAACACACAGTAGGTACCGTATAAATACCACAAACCGAATAGTTCAAAGCATACACTCTGCTAGAGAGAAATTCCCCGAGGATGGGCTCCAGAACAAGTCTGAAAGCTCAGAAGACAAAACTGCTGGTCCCGGTGACCGACCCAGATTGGATCCTGCAACATTATCCCGGGACACGTAGATTCATCTTCATTCATTGAAACTTTTGCTCAGCAATAAGGTCCCATTTTTATCTGGTCACAGCACACATGAAAAGGAAGGTAAGTTGGACCTAATTCAAAGTGTTAGCAAGGACTAGTGTGAGGTGTTGAATTGTGTGTAGTAACCATAACATTATCAAACATTATCAAATAATAACCATTACATCATCAAACATTGTCTATATGGGAGTGTAAAATTGTCAAGAAATTCCTCCATGATCACATTGGCATTTCTACCAATGGAGGGACTGGTGGAAACAAAGCAGAAAATGAACAGTGACAAAAGCTTGAGGGTTACTCAATGTGGAATGTAACCACAGAAGCTCAATTGAGTATCAGGTCAGGAGAGCTATGGTCACGCCCAAAGTTCATCAGCATTTAAATAAGCTTTGGCAAATATGCTCTCCTCAGATAACACAAACCTACAGAAAAGAAATTCAAGGAGATAATAAGCAATGCAAAAAAGCAATTTTAAGGAACTAATGGCCCATTGACAGCCTTTAAGTACATGCACAAATATAGGCTGCAAAATCCAGATGGCCACTAGATGGCAACAAAGGGATACAGAAAACGAACTCTATGCTGCCATCTAGTGATCCTCTCGAATAGTCAATCTGCTACCTTAAATCAGCTGCAGCCAAACAGCTAGGAAAACAGATGGACAAAAGGGCTGCTAAGAAATGCAAATGAAGAGTAAGGAAGCTGTGAAGAAGCTGGATTAATTCTATGCATCTCTTTTCATTGCAGAAAATGTGGCATTTTGAAATAGACATTTTCTCAAAGACTGTCTGAGGCAGGGAAACAAATAACAGTGACAAGAACTACTTTTCTGTCTGACCAAATCAAAACAATGACATTGCTGAGTGCAGATAAGATCCCTGTGAAATAGAAAATCCAGTTCCTACTATAAACCAACAGGGCCACTCCAATTTTAAAACCGAGATAGAGGTGATGATAGCATGTTTTAATGTCTCCTCTGAAATGCATCTAGAAAGCCCAATCTTGCTTTTCCATAACCAGATCTTATGTTTTCAAGAAGAGAACGAGCAGCCTTTTGTCTGAAATGATATAGGGCTGCCTGCCTGCCTGCCTGACCTCCAAGGTCCCTTCCAACTCTGTTACTCTTGTTATTATTCTGAAGCCTGGCACTCCACAAGCCATCCCATCAACAGATACATCCATCTACAACCAATCTACAAACCCCTCAGAATTCAAATCAACTGCCAACCAATAGTGATGGCACCACCTCTCAACCAACCTATGAACCCCTCCCCCACCAGGACTTCACCTCCCAATGACCCTCATGATGTGACCTCCCCATCACAAAACCCAACACAAGACCCACACCTGATGTGACCCACACCTTACCCCAATGACCCCGACCCTCAACCAAACCATAAACCTCCCCCAACCACCACTTCACCTCCCAATGACCTTCACCTGATGTGACCTCCTCATCACAAGACCCACACCTGATATGACCCACACCTGAACCCTCACAAGATCCATCACAAGACCCATACCTGACATAACTCCTGCATGATAAAATCGCTCAGATTCGGGAAGGCTTGGACTCCGACTGGGTGAGTCCAGGGGAGGAGATGGGGGTAGGTCTTGAAAATATTATCTGGGAAGAGTTTGATCCTGTGGCTCCCGAGGACGTGGACAGGATTCTGTGTAGGATTAGTGCAGCCACGTGTTTATTGGACCCGTGTCCCTCCTGGTTGGTACTGGCCTCCCGGGAGGTTACACAAGGCTGGCTCCAGAGGATTATAAATGCTTCTTTGAGTGAGGGTACCTTTCCCGCCACCTTGAAAGAGGCGGTGGTGAGGCCCCTCCTCAAGAAGCCATCCCTGGACCCAGCTATATTAGCTAACTACCGTCCGGTCTCCAACCTTCGCTTTGTGGCAAAGGTTGTTGAGAGTGTGGTGGCACGACAGCTTCCCTGGTACCTGGATGAAGCTATCTATCTGGACCCGTACCAGTCGGGCTTCAGGCAGGGGTACAGCACTGAAACCGCATTGGTCGCATTGGTGGATGATCTCTGGAGGGCTCGGGACAGGGATTGCTCCTCTGTCCTGGTCCTATTAGATCTCTCAGCGGCTTTTGATACCATCGACCATGGTATCATGCTGCAGCGGTTGAGGGGATTAGGAATAGGGGGCACTGTTCTGCGGTGGTTCTCCTCCTTCCTCTCCGACCGCTCGCAGTTTGTGTTGGCAGGGGGGCAGAGGTCGACCTCGAGGCGCCTCGCATGGGGAGTGCCGCAAGGGTCGGTCCTCTCGCCCCTCCTGTTCAACATTTATGTGAAGCCGCTGGGTGAGATCATCCGTGGTTTTGGGGTGAGAGTCCATCAGTACGCTGATGACACTCAGTTGTACATCTCCACCCCAGACCACCCCAATGATGCCCTTGATGTGATGTCCCGCTGCCTGGAGGCCGTGCAGGTCTGGATGGGGAGAAATAGGCTCAGACTCAACCCTTCCAAGACCGAGTGGCTGTGGCTTCTGGCGTCGTGATATAGTCAGCTGGTGCCATCGCTGATTATTGGGGGTGAATCTTTACCCCCCACAGAGAGGGCTCGCAATCTGGGTGTCCTCCTGGATGCACGGCTGTCTTTAGAACAGTGGGTCTCAACCTTCCTAATGCTGCGACCCTTTAATACAGTTCCTCCTGTTGTGGTGACCCCCAACCATAAAATTATTCCTAAAACCATTGAAAATATGTGTTTTCCGATGGTCTTAGGCAACCCCTGTGAAAGGGTCATTCGACCCCCAAAGGGGTCCTGACCCACAGGTTGAGAACCACTGCTTTAGAAGAACATATGACGGCCGTGGTCATGGGGGCCTTTTATCAAGTTTGCCTGATCCGCCAGTTGCAGCCCTTTTTGGACTGGAACGCCTTACGCACGATCACTCACACCCTTGTCACCTCCCGGCTGGACTACTGTAATGCTCTCTACATGGGGCTCCCCTTGAAGAGCACTCGGAAGCTCCAACTGGTGCAGAATGCGGCCGTGCGGGTGGTTATGGGCGCGACTCGTTGTGCCCGCGTGACACCCCTCCTGCACCAGCTGCACTGGCTCCCAGTGGTCTTCCGGGTGCGATTCAAGGTGTTGGTTACCACCTTAAAAGCGCTCCATGGCACAGGACCCGGGTACCTCCGAGACCGTCTTCTGCCACCAACAGCCTCCCACCGGCCAGTCCGCTCCCACAGGGAGGGACTCCTCAGGGTGCCATCGGCCAAGTTATGTTGGCTGGCGACACCCAGGGGGAGGGCCTTCTCTGTGGGAGCCCCAGCCCTGTGGAACGAACTACCCCTGGAAATACGCAAGATCTCCGACCTCCGGGTATTTCGCTGTGCCCTTAAGACCCTGCTGTTCCGCCAGGCAGGGCTATCTATGTAAATGATTTTAAATTGGGTGTTTTAAATTTTGGGTTTTAAATTCGGGCCGAAATTGTTTAATACTTTTAACTATTTTAAAACTGTTGTTTGTATCTTGTGTTTTTAATTGGCTGTACACCGCCCCGAGTCCTCCGGGAGAAGAGCGGTATATAAATTAAATTATAAATAAATAAACTCATCATAAGACCCATCACAACACACTCACCTGACATGACCTCCCCATCACAAGACCTACTGACCACATCAAGCCCTTCTAAGTAGAACACCGACGTCCCCTCAACTCCGCTGAAGATGTTACCTAGCCTGGTAACAAAATGTTCAGAAATCAACCCACAAGCTCAGAGAACAAACCTCCACCCTCCTCCTCCACCCGAGCTACAGATATTCACCACTATCGCAATCTCAACTCAGTCCACTAATTATGAGTACGTTTACACACCTAGTTTGTTAGTTGCCTTTTAAGAGATTGACAGAGTTGGAAGAGACCTGAAGCAGGTGATAATTCTTCTTGAGTCACTGACTCTTCACACCTCCATGGACCATCTCAAACTCTTCACATGCCCATGGACTGTAGCACGTCAGGCCCACCCATCCCCCACCGTCTCCTAGAGTTTCCCCAAATTCTTCTTCATTGCGCCCATGACCCTATCTAACCATCTCGTCCTCTGCTGTCCCCTTCTCTTTTTGCCTTCCATCTTTCCCAACATCAGGGTCTTCTCCAAGGAATCCCCTCTTCTCATTAGGTAGCCAAAGTATTTGAGCTTCAGCTTAGACAATAATAAACAACGAAACAACAAAACAAGGGATCTCCAACCTTGGCAACTTTTAAGACTTGCGGACTTCAACTCCCAGAGTTCCTCAGCCAGCCTGAAATCCACAAGTCTTAAAGTTGCCAAGGTTGGAGACTCCTGAACTGAAGAATGCACAACATCAGCAGACGCGGGTTTCACAAATTCCAAACAGCCAGGACCCCCTTGTGAATGAGCCCCATGGTACTCACTTCCAACTTTGAGGTTGACTCGATCTCTGAGATGCCACAAAGGCCCCTCGTAGCAGGAGTATTGTCCACTGTGGGAGAGATCCACGTTCCGAAGGAGAAGGTGGGAGCCACTCAGGTGGGAAGCATCCAGATCAGTGCTGTTGGCAGTCCAGGTGACGGGCGTCTCCTGGTCTACTGAGCCACACGGTATCGTCACGTCAGTCCCCAATTGCGCGTAATGGACGTGGGACTCTGGAGTAGAAAGAGAAGGAAATGTTAACTTTTCTCTGTGGGGCAGTGGGTGGGGGAGGTGGACTTATTAGTTTAGCAACAGCAGAAACTCTAGAGCAGGGGTCTCCAACCTTGGCAACTTCAACTCCCAGAACTCCCCAGCCAGCTTTGCTCTAGAGTTTCCCACGTTCAAAAATTGGCACGTCACCAGAGGCCCTTCTCCAACCTCTGTGGCTGCACTACAATTTCTCACGGGACTATGATTTTTTTTAATAAAAAATATATTTATTATGTTTTATCAACAGGAATTAAATGCAAAGCAGAGAGAAAAACATACACCCAACAGTAACAACAACAAAAATTGTGTACAAAAAAGAAAGAAGAAAAATGACCCGAAGATCAAATACTGTAAATCTGTAAAGAGCCTTGGTAGTACAGGGGTTTAAGGCACCCTGTTATTAAGCTTATTAAGACCAGCTGCCTGCAATTACTGCAGGGTTCGAATCTCGCCAAGGCTCAAGGTTGACTCAGCCTTCCATCCTTTCTAAGGTAGGTGAAATGAGGACCCAGTTTGTGGGGGCAATAAGCTGACTTTGTATAAATATACAAAAGGATGAAGGCTATTGCTGAGCACATTGTAAGCCGCCCTGAGTCTTCGGAGAAGGGCGGCATATAAATCAAATTAAATAAAAATAAAAAATCTAACTCCAGGTGGATGCTCGAAAGAAAATAATAATAATAAAAAAAAGATAAATTCTCTTCCTGATAAATCATGAAATTGATTGGGGACAATCATATTAACCACTTGACTTTGCTTGCCAGAAGGTCTCAAAAGGGGATCACAAAACCCCAGGACATTGCAACCGTCGCAAATAGGAGTCCGTTGCCAAGTCTCCAAATTTAGATCACGTGACCTGGGCGGATGCTGCAATGGCCACAAGTGTGAAAAATAGTCATAACTTGTTTTCAGTGCCGTTGTAACTCTTAACAGTCACATATTAACCAGGTTTCTATTAAATTCTCCTCCTGATAAATCATGGAATTGATACCTGGCAGTTCGAAAGCACGCAAAAAATGCAAGTAGAGAAATAGGCACCACTTTGGTGGGAAGGTAACAGTACTCCGAGCGCCTTCGGTGTTTAGTCATGCCGGCCACACGACCACGGAGATGTCTTCGGACAGAGCTGGCTCTTCGGCTTTGAAACGGAGATGAACACTGCCCCCCAGAGTCGGGAACAATTAGCACGCATGTGCGGGGGAACCTTTACCTTTAATCCTATTAACCAGGTTTAAATCAGCCACATCAAAACATGTTTTGAATTCTGCTCCCTAACTTTTCCTGTTTTGATCTCAGCTGGGCTTTGCGGGGATGTCCCTAACCAGCCAACCCAAGTCCAGGATTGAGAAGATGAGATCCCTCCACCCTCCCGCCCTACATTTCGGTGAACGACAAACCACCAACAGGGAAGAGAAACATCTGGAGGCGGGATAAGGCCATCTGCTGGAGTTTTGTGCTCTTCTTCACCTATCAAAAGTGGCAGTGTGTGTGTGTGTCTCTAAGCGATGCTTTCTTTTAGCAGAAGGGCACACTCAGTTTGCAAGCTGGTTTTTTTGCCACTTTCAGGTGGAGGGACTTCCAGAAGCTGTTCTGAAACTCTGATTATGATTGTCTTTCTGAGGAATCTTTGGTGCTCTCTGAGCTGGGCTGTTTTCTTGTAGATGTTTCATGGCCCAACTAGGTAACATCATCAGTGCTCGAAGGGAGAAGGGTTTATGGGGAGAGGAGGAGGAGGAGGAGGAAGAGGAAGGACTGTGAAGTCCTTGGTGCTCTCTGAGCTTGGTGGGGTTTTTTGCAGACACTTCCTTGGTGGCTCAATGGTAGAATGCAGTATTGCATGGCTTTATCCCACCTCCAGATATTTCTCTTCCCCGTTGGTGCTTTGTAGCTCACCGAAATGCAGTTCGATCCTGACCGGCTGAAGGTTGACTCAGCCTTCCATCCTTCTGAGGTCGGCAAAAGGAGGGCCCAGATTGTTGGGGGCAAGAGGCTGACTTTGGAAACAGCTTAGAGGGGGCTGGAAAGCATTACGAAGTGGTCTATAGGTCTAAGGGCTATTACCCAAGCTAGGTAACGTCACAAAGCATTTGCAAGAAAACAAGCAACCTCAGGAAGCAGCAAGGACCCCCCTGCTTTAACACCTCCTTTCTGAGGACAGAGTTGGACAAGATTAGCCAGTCTCCCTGGTAGGACTCAACAGTTGCCCTGATCCTGGGAAACGTTCAGATGGAGACGGAAAGGGGGGGGGACGGTTGCCTCTGAATAACCTTCCTTTGTGTGCTTTTGTTGACCTGCAGAAGAATTCCTTCCGTATGGCAAGCATGGCCTCCCATCCTGGCAAAGGCTGTGTTGACTCTTCCCTGGTGTGGGGTGTTTATCTGAACAACTAATAAATCTGTATCCTTCCTTGGAGCTGCTGCCAATTGGGGACTTGATCCAGCTGTGCAGCCGCTGCAAAGGAATTTTCAGCAGAAAGACCAGGAAGGGAGCAGAGCCCTCAGGGACAGCGGCTCTACGTGACCCACAGCTGAACCTGGACTGGTTCTCGCAGAATGACAGAATTAGAAGGGACCCTGGGGGGTCTTCTAGTCCAACCCCCTGCTCAAGCAGGAGACCCTGCACCATTTCAGACCAATGGTTGTCCACTCTCTTCTTAAAAGCCTCCAGTGTTGGAGCACCCACAACTTCTGGAGGCAAGGAGTTCCACTGGTTAATTGTTCTCACTGTCAATAAATTCCTCCTTAGTTCTAGGTTGCTTCTCTCCTTGATTGGTTTCCATCCGTTGCTTTTAGTCCTGCCTTCAGGTCAGAGGTGGGTTTCAGCAGGTTCTGACCAGTTCTGGAGAACCGGTAGCAGAATTTTTGAGTAGTTTGGAGAACCGGTAGTAAAAATTCTGGTTGGCCCCGCTCCCATCTATTCTCTCTGAGTCACAGCTGATTGGGAGGAAATGGGGATTTTGCAGTAACCTTCCGCTGGAGTGGGGAGGGAATGGAGATTCTACAGTATCCTTCCTCTGCCACGCCCACCAAGCCACACCCACCAAGCCATGCCACACCCACCTGCCATGCCCACCAAGCCAGACCCACCAAGCCATGCCACACCCACCTGCCATGCCCACCAAGCCACACCCACCAAGCCATGCCACACCCACCTGCCATGCCCACCAAGCCACACCCACAGAACCGGTAGTAAAAATTTTTGAAACCCATCACTGCTTCAGGTGCTTTGGAGAATAAATTGACCCTCCTCTTCTTTGTGGCAGCCCCTCAAATCCTGGAAGACTGCTAACATGTCTCAGTTAGTTGTTCTCCTTGTTAGACAATCTAGACATATAGCTCAGTGGTGGGCTGCCCCCAGTTCGGACTGGTTCGCAAGAACCGGTAGTAAAACTGGCGAGAGACTCCGCCCACTGACCTGGACGCCATCAGAAGTGATCTGCGCATGCGCAGAAGCTTCTGCCTATGCACAAAAGAGTGCATGCGCACGCTTGCTTTGCTCACACCTGCAGGCGAGCACAATGCGAACCGGTAGTAAAGGTAAGTAGAACCCACCCCTCATATACCTATAGCATTTAGTCTGTAAGTCTAAATGCTATAGCTATATGAGGGGTGGGTTCTACTTACTTGTGCTTCACAGCCCTCTCTAAGTGGTTTACAGAGTCAGCCTCTGGCCCCCAACAATCTGGGTCCTCATATATATAACACACACACACACACACACACACCCCATATATGGCTGTCCATTTTGAGTATGTAGCAGAAAGGGGAAGCTTGAAAATTCACAAGGTTGATCCTGCATGGAAGCAAACTGTGAGTGAACCTGCTTGTTCTTCTCCAGATATTGTGAAGCCCCCCCACCTCCCAGAAGGGGTAGCAAGGAAAACAGGCGGTGGAGAGGAAGGGTCCCAGACAATTTGCTTTGCAATTTCTGCTTTCAGCCCTTTGCAAAATATCTACATCTGCCAAGGACCCCCAACCACTTGGCCAGATGTCTTACTTGGTATGTACTCTTATCATACGTTTTCATGTTTCTGGTGGTTTAATGGCTTTACTGTTTGTATTGGTTTTTAAAAAAAATACTTTAATTGTAATATGTTTTTGAATTATGAGCCGCATAGAGTCGTTTGTTGATTTGGGCGGCTGTAGACATCAAATAAATAATTCTGAAGAGACACTCTGCTCCTTGCCCTGGTCTTAATCTTTTGCCCATTTGTTTTATGCTTCCCTGGAAAACACCCCAGGGATCAATAAAAGAGAATCTCTGTAGCTCAGGGTTGAGCTGTGGGGTCCCTGATGCTCTCTGAGCTCAGTTGTTTCCTTGCAGACGTTTAATGACCCAAGCAGGCAACATCATCAGTGCTAGAAGGGAGTGGGGCAAGAAACTTTTATATAAACAGAGACCAAATCCCACTGCCTTCTAGCACTGATGATGTGACCTAGTTGGGTAATGAAACGTCTGCAAGAAAGAATGAAATTCAAGGTCATCAAGGACCCCACACCCAAAGGATCCTCAGCCACAGAGGAGACCTTCAGCCAGGCAGGACACAATGTGGTGCCTCCCTCCAGCAAAGCACACCCAGGACTCGGAGGGAGGTTGTCCCCATCCAGCTTTAGGTGAGCCTGTGGAGCCCTGGAGAAGTCCATCCCCCCCACCACTCACCCTCCAGATCATAGTTTTTCACTAAACTTGCTGTTGGCGATGGGAAGATTCGTTACAATCTTCAGCAACACAACCAACATGAAGAAATTCCCATAATTGTGTGTATGTGTATTTTTGCTGCAGTGAGCCAAACCTGGTTGTTAGATTGGATGATGTATTATACAGGAATAAAAATTCTAACATCACAGGAATGAACAGAAGGCTTGCTATAGTATTATCCTTAATTTTTAACTGAAATAATGTTGAAAATGGCAAAAGGCCTTGGTGGAGCAGAGGACTAAAGTGCTGCTGTTAAAGTAGTACT